GATGAAGCCCATTACTCTGATTTCTGCCTTGAGCCTGAGACCAGATCAGCATTCAAAAGCTATTTCAGAGTATTGATGGGCACAAGTAGCATCACATAAAGTGGAGGACCCTGGGAATGGTTTCCTCTAATGCAGCAGTTCTCAACCTATGGGTCACGACCCCTTTGGGGGTCGAACGACCCTTTCACAGAGGTCACCTAAATACATCCTGCATATCAGATATTTACATTACAATTCATAACAGTAGCAAAATTACAGTTATGAAGTAGCAACGAAAATAATTTTATGGTTGGGGGTCACCACCACATGAGGAACTGTATTAAAGGGTTGCAGCATTAGGGAGGTTGAGACCACTGCTCTAATGGTTCCTCCTGTCCCTGGATTTGCAGGCCCAGTACTATCTACTCAATTCCTCGTAGCTGTCCTCCTAGGCCTCAAGGTGCTGCTGGTGATTGGTGTCTCTGCCATCTATGTCCACAGGAAGTGGAGAGCCTGACAGTAAGTTGTTGGGCAGGGAAGGAAGGCTAATGTCTGTCCCAAAAGGGGCAAGGTTAACAAGAGAGGCCATCCCACAAGGTCAGGGTCCAAGAAGAGTTAGAAGAAGGTGACACACCTCTATCAATAACCTCGGGAGTTTTAAGGATCCCTCTAAGAGATTCCTACTTCCTAGGAATTATGTGGGGTCCTGTAAGAGGTGAACTGTATAAAGGATTTCAAAGGATATCCACAATGCTTTAGGGTTTCTGTGGAGGAACTGGGCAGAGGGAACTGATTGAGGGACAGCTAAGTGGGTAGTTCCCTTGGAGACAATCACCAGATTATTTGATTGCTGATGCTCCTTGTGGCAAAGAGAATCCACAGTTTAGTGTATTATTGAGAACTCCTGAATCGGCTGCTCTGATCCTGTGTGACAGAGTGGAAGGGATGAGGAAGGAGGATCAGGACCTGGGGAGAAAGGCTGAGGAGGCAGAGTCCTCTGCCAGGTGCTACATGTTCTCTCATGACAGGAATGTCAAGAGGAGGGCAGTCCAGGACATTGGAGAGATACAGTAAACATTTCCTGAATGATGAGCAGATAGTTAAACATGAACACGCTTCCCACAGCTCATTCCTTCTTCTCCTGCTACATGCCACCCTCAATCTCTGCAGTCTCCTTCCTTCTATGAGAGACTCAGCCTAAGAAAAAAGTTGACTAGAAACTTTCACAGACTCTGCTCCAAACGCCTCTCCCCAAACTGGATCTGCTCCCCACAGGCTCCTCCTGCTGTTCCTTCTCACAGTTCTTGATGCCACCAGAGCTGGGTCTTCATACATGCTCCTCTCAGAAACACAAGCGGGCCCTAGCTAGTTTGGCTCAGTGGATAGAGCATCGGCCTGCGGACTGAAGGGTCCCGGGTTCAATTCCGGTCAATGGCACATGCCTAGGTTGTAGGCTCGATCCCCAGTAGGGGGGTGCAAGAGGCAGCTGATCCAATTATTCTCAGCATTGATGTTTCTCTCTCTCTCTCTCCCTCTCCCTTCCTCTCTGAAATCAATAATAAATAAAAAAAGACACACAGAATCCCAAATTACAGCTGCTCTGTTATCCCATACACATGACTTGAATGTGATAAGGAGGAGGAAATGAGCTTCTGGGAATTGAGGGTATAGAATGCACTGTGACATTAAGTGCAATCAGACCTTTAGTGATAACCATCGACCTAAGAGCCAGAGGAAGAGAAAGCAATACTATGACTAAGTTGTGCAAGTTAATGCAGTGAGATAGCCATGTTGATTTTGGCATTGACTTGATAATGGATATGTCTTTTCAAAAATCTTTTTAGTTGCTGTTTAAGGATATTATGAAGCTGAGGATCAGCAATTTCAAGTAAGTTGAGAATTCCTCAATTATTTCCACTGGGAGTTGGGGCAAGAGGCAGCCCTGTGTTCTGGCTGTATGAGTCTGAGGTGCAGTTGATCTTGTTGAGTTGGAAGGGGCTGAGGCAAGAGGATCTCGATTCAAACACCACAGATTCATATTTTTCTTCCCTAGTTTTTTATTTATACTAGAGGCCCAGGGAGGGGTTCTTCAGCCCAGCCTGTGCCCTCTCACAGTCTGGGACTCCTCGGGGGATGTCCAACTAATGGCTTAGGCCACCTCAGACATCCTTAGCACTGCCATGGAGGCGGGAGAGGCTCCCGCCACCACCACTGCCACCACCACTGTGCTGGCCAGCCAGGAGCCAGCTTCTGGCTGAGTGGCACTCCCCCTCTGGAAGCGCACTGACCACCAGGGGGCAGCTCCTGAATTGAGCGTCTGCTCCCTGGTAGTCAGTGCACATCATAGCAACTAGTTGTTCCACCATTGGGGTCAATTTGCATATTACCCTTTTATTATATAGGATTTTCTTAAATACATGGTTTTCCCTTTTAGGATTATTTCTAGAGATTTTAAGTGCTTTTTCAACATAGAGAGTCAATTAATATATCTTAAATGAATGAAAGAATTCTTTTCTTCGTATTTTCTGGAATTAAAATATCATTTCTTGGGTAAAATGACATTTACAGTATCTGGAAATTCATTTGAAATTATTTTTCTTTGGAAAAATAAAGTATACAATTATTTTTTAAAAAGTTGTTGAGCCCTAACCGGTTTGGCTCAGTGGATAGAGCATCAGCCTGCAGACTCAAGGGTCCCAGGTTTGATTCCAGTCAAGGACATGTACCTTGGTTGCAGGCACATCCCCAGTAGGGAATGGGCAGGAGGCAGCTGATCAATGTCTCTCTCTCTCATCGATGTTTCTAACTCTCTATCCCTCTCCCTTCCTCTCTGTAAAAAATCAATAAAATATATATTTTTTAAAAAAAGTTGTTGACCTACAATGCCTTAAGTGTAGGAATCTCTGGACCACAGGACCCATTGAAGACCACACAATCTTGTAATCCATCAGACACTGAGTTGGGATGTGTTCAAAGTTCTGTAGAGAAGTCAAAGCAGAGAAGTTCCCCTCTGAGGTCTTGTAGACAGAGAGACATGGGTTCAGATAACAGAAAACATATACCAGCTATGGACCTTGGGCAACTCACTAACACTCTCTGAGCCAATTTCCTCCTCTGTAAAATGGGAATCATGCTACCCCAAAGAATTGTGGGGCTTTAGAGAGAGCAGTTTATAAGCGTACACAGGGTCTGGAACAAGACTGTATGTGATACAGACCCTTTCTTCCTTTGCTCATTGAGGAACTTTCACCCTCTGTGTTTTCCATCACGGTGAAGTAATTACATTGAAAGCTCTTCAAGGGGCCTGGCTGCCTGAACATGTTCTCAGACTTTTCTCAGTAAAAGTTCCCCACTTGTAGACTGGCATCTGAATCCAAGAATCTCTTTAAAGACAGCAAAATCAACATTTGCTTCAAAGTTGGGGATATGCTTGCTAGCATGAGGGGAAGCTGGAACAAACCCTAATGTAATTGAAACCTGGCCCTGATACTAAAATCAAACCCTAATTTATTTATTTATTTATTTTTACCTTTCAGGACATAACAGCAAGCCTCTTCACAGACCTCCAGAGACACAAGACCAAGCCATATCAGACTGATATTAAAGGCACAGGCAGGTCCAAAAAGCAGACAAATGAAATCCAACTATCTTTTAAAATTCATTTGGGTAAGTTAATAAAACATGTGAAGCCAATTATACTTCTTTGTAATATAAACTAGTTTAAGGAAGAAAAAGACAGTCCCTTATTAAACTAATAAAAATGTAAATAGAAGTAAAAAGAAAGGAGAAGGCAAGTGACTAAGAACATGACTTTTACTAATATTTTATTTTTAGGGCCCATACTCTGGGCCTGAAGCTTCTTGGTTTTCATGTTGTACAGGCACAATCAGTGGGTCCAACACACTCATCAGGCTAATGTTTCCCTCAGATGCCTCCTCACACCAGAACTACCCAAAGCATCCTTTTCCTGGTGTATCTTTGTGTCTTTTTCACCCTCTATTCTGTCTTTCACATTTGTTCAGCCGTTTTCAATAATCCCAGTTGGTAACTAGTGAACACCTCTAATAATCATGGCTGTTTCCCAACTGTCAGGCCCAGGTTTGCACAGATAAGGAATACAAAATGCCCCTGCAATTATCACAAAAATGTAAATCCTAGATTTTCACAACATTCATACATCTCTCAGGAACCTGAGCACTATGTTAAGGCAGTCACATCATAGCTCAGTAGTGCAACCAAGATACAATGAACTTTGCCCCAGTAATAAAAAAAATGTTAAAATGCCTGTGAAATAAATTTCATTTATTATGCAAATACGTATATAATCTAAATTTTCTTAATACTTACAGTAGAGAAGTTCAAAGTCTTTGCTACATAAAAGAATATGACCTAAAACAATATAAAGAATATGGAGTAGTATTTGAGTGTGTAACTTTATAAATGAACATATTAAGTGCACACATACTCTAAACAAAGCACTGGGGGGGAAAAGAGCATTGCAAACACACTGTATTGCCACTGCTCAAAATACACATTATAAGCATTCAAAGAATGATGAAATGAATTTATATATAAACCACAGTAATACTTTTCTTTCAAAAAGTCACAAATAACTATTGTAATAAAAAAGGATGCAGTGGATTTGTCCTAAAATTCATCCCCTTGGTATTTTGATTCATACTAGAAAGTCATGTAGCTTTCCTTAATGGATTCACTAAAATAAGTATTCTGATTTAATGTCATATTTGAAAACTGTTATTGACTTAATACTTTCTACTGTGAATTCTCTGATATTTTACATTTAATTTTGATTAAAGTCACTTTCAAATACAAATTCTGTGGGATTTTCTGAAATACGATTTGGGGGAAAGGTTTTTCATCATTTTTCACAAAGGTAGAATTTCTCTCCAGTATGCATTGTCTGATATTCAGAAAGGCTTTAGGTCCAGGTAAAGGGTTTGCATATTCTTTAACATTTTAAGTTTTTCTCCAGTATGAACACTCATATGGCAGTTAAGATGTAAATGGTAAAAACAGTCTTTGCTGAACTTTTTACATTTGCATGGCTTCTCTGCACTAGGAAACCTCTAAAGTACATTGAGGCTTGAGCAATGATCAAAAGTTTTGCCACATTGTTTATATTTTTATTCTTTTAATAAATTATGTGATATTGACTAAGGTTTCAACACTGGGTAAAGGCATTATCACAAGCTCTACACTTCTAAGGCTTCTCTTTGGTACAAATCCTTTAATATTTAGTGAGGTTTGTGCAATGGTTGGAGGTTTTCCCATATTTATATTTATGTTGCTTCTATTCACTGTGGATTCCTTAGTATTGAGTAACGCTATACCGAGGTTAAAGACGTTGTCACACTTTATCTAAAAATATGTTCCTATTGATGTTAGGGACAGAGGAGAAGGGAGAGAAAGAAACATCAATGATGAGAATCACTGACTGGCTACCTTCTGCATACCCCCTAATAGGGATAGAGCCTGAACCCGGGCATGTACCCTGACCAGGAATTTAACCATGACCTCCTTGGTTCGTAGGTCCATGCTCAACCACTAAGCCACACTGCTAGGCTTTGTCACTCTTCACATTTGTAAAGCTTCTCTCAGGAATGCATTCTCATATATTTGGTAAGGTCTAATCAATGTATATGGGCCTTGCCACATTCTTAATGTTCGTAAGCCTTCTCTCTAGTATGACTCCTCCAATGGCTAGAAAGGTTTGAACATAATTTATAGGCTTTGCCACATTCTCTACATTTATCAGGGTTTCTGTTCTACATGAATTCTCTGATGTTTAGAAAGGGCTGAATACCAACTAAAGGCTTTGCCACATTCTCTACATTTATAAGGCTTCTCTCCAGAATGAATATTCTGATGTTGAGTAAGAAGTGACCCCTGGGTAAAGCCTTTGCCACACTCTCTACATTTATAGGGCTTCTCTCCAGAATGAATTCTCTGATGTTTAGTAAGCTGTGAGCCCTGGGTAAAGGCTTTACCACATTCTCTACATGTATAAGGCTTCTCTCCAGAATGAATCCTTTGATGCTGAGTAAGATTTGAGTTCCGCATAAAGGTTTTGCCACATTCTCTACATTTATAAGGCTTCTCTCCAGTATGAATTTTCTGATGATCGGTAAGGTTTGAACACTGACTAAAAGCTTTGCCACATTCTCTACATTTATAAGGCTTCTCTCCAGAATGAATAATCTGATGTCGAGTAAGATGTGAGCTCTGGATAAAAGTTTTGCCACATTCTTTGCATTTATAAGGCTTCTTCCCAGAATGAATGATCTCATGTCGAGTAAGATGTGCACTCTGGATAAAAGCTTTGCCACATTCTCTACATTTATAAGGCTTCTCTCCAGAATGAATGATCTGATGTCGAGTAAGATGTGACCTCTCGATAAAAGCTTTGCCACAGTCTCTACATTTATAAGGCTTCTCTCCAGAATGAATGATCTGATGTCGAGTAAGACGTGAGCTCTGGATAAAAGCTTTGCCACATTCTCTACATTTATAAGGCTTCTCTCCTGTATGCATTCGCTGATGATGGGTAAGTGTTGAATACCGGCTATAGACTTTGCCACATTCTCTACATTGATTAGGTTTTTCTCCAGTATGAATTGTATGATGTTTCATAAGGCATGAACACTTCTTAAAGGCTTTGCCACATTCTTTACATTTACAAGGCTTCCCTCCAATATAAATTCTTTTATGTCTAGTAAAGCCTGAATAACTTTTAAAGGCTTTCCCACATTCTCTACATTTATAAGGCTTTATTTCTGTATGAATTCTCTGATGATGGGTAAGGGTTGAACACCACCTAAAGGCTTTCCCACATTCTCTACATTTATAAGGCTGCACTCCAGTATGCACTGTCTGATGTTGAGTAAGATGTGAGCCCTGAGTAAAGGCTTTGCCACATTCTCTACATTTATAAGGCTTCTCTCCAGAATGAATTTTCTTATGTTGAGTAAGATTTGAGCTCGAGGTAAAGGCTTTACCACATTCTCTACATTTATAAGGCTTCTCTCCAGAATGAATTCTCTGATGTTTTGTAAGATTTGAACTCTGGTTAAAGGTTTTCCCACAATCTCTACATTCATAAGGCTTCTCTCCAGTATGAATTCTCTGATGATGGGTAAGAGTTGAACACTGGCTAAAGGCTTTGCCACATTCTCTGCATTTATAAGACGTCTCTTCAGAATGAATTCTCTGATGTTTTGTAAGGCTTGAACACTTGTTAAAGGCTTTCCCACATTCTTTACATTTATAAGGTTTCTCTCCATGATGAATTCTCTGATGTCGAATAAGGCTTGAATAAGAGTTGAAGGCTTTGTGACATTCTCTACATTTATAAGGCTTCTCTCCACTATGAATTCTCTGATGTAAAACAATATGTGCATGCCACTTAAAGGCTTTATCACATTCTTTGCATTTGTAAGGCTTCTCTGCAGTATGGATTTCCTTATGTATATTTAACTTAGAAGACTGACTAAACACTTTCACATAGTGATTACACTGGAAAGACTTCTCCTCAATATGAGTATTTTTATGTTCAGTAAGCTTTGATGATTGGTTGAAAGACCTGGCACATTCACTAAGTCTTTCTGTCTTCTCTACAGTATGAATACTCTGAGGTATAAAAATATTTGAGCTTTTGTCAAAGACTTTCGGACATTTATCATTATTCTGTGAAAGCTGAGTTCTCTGACGGTTATTAGAATTTAACCTTTGGTTAATGTGTTTCTGAGATTCATTGCATTGGTGACGTCTCTCTTCATTATATGTACTCTGATAATGATTTAAGAGTGAAAAAGTTTTAGTTAGGGCTCTAGTATCATTGCACATGTACAGTTTTTTCCAATTACCTATTCTGATACTATGACAGCTATATATATATCCTCGCACATTTTTGGAAATTAAAGACTCTGGAAAAATAAATATTTCCCCATGAAAGAATAATACAAAATTGCTTAAGGGATTTACAAATTCATTTATAACTTGTATCTTCATTTTTAAAATATCTCATTTTTAGAAATATTTGACTGTTTAATCAAATGCTACATTAAATCATTCAAAAATTATTTGCATAATGGACTATGTGACTTCTCTGTAATTACAAATTTTACTTCAGAGAATATGTATTCATCTATTTATTTTAATTCTCATATGAGGACATGTTTATTGATTTTTAGAGAGAAAGAAAAATCGATGTGAAAGAGAAACATTGATCGATTGCCTCCTGCCTGCACCTAGACCAGCAACTGAACCCTAAACCTACATGTGTCCTGACCAGAATAGAACCCACAACATTTCACAATATAGGGTGACACTGCAACCAACTGAGACACAGCAGCCAGAGCAGAGGATATGTACTTTTAGAAACATTTCTTTAATCTTTATGTTCAGAAACACATTGTTCTGCCAATGAAACTGATATCAAGTAGAAATTTTCAAAATGTTTAAATCCTTAATCTCTTTAGGCAACAAGGATTTTATTAAGGGTAACTGTCCCACTTTGGCCACATCCATCATGACTAACAAGCTTTTTTCTCTTCATATTCCCCTGCATATTACAAAACTTTCATTCAGTGTAAATTATCAATGCCACATCAGTGATATCTTACCTGTAGCATTTTCTGGAATGACACTTCTACACCTGACTTTGGCAACAAATCCTGAATAACCTGAGAAGACATAGCTGAAATATAACAAATTAATTATAAAATACACTCAGGTAAATATTCTTTAAATTTTAATGTACAGAATTAATACCTGCAAGAAGACTTCAGTGAGACTGAAGAACAGGAAGCACAAAAACTTTCTTCCTCCATGGAGATGCTAACTTACCAACAATTACTAACCCAATTATCTCCTAAAGTACTTCAGAAGCCACTTCAAAGACCACAATATCCACCAGAAAGCATAAAATAAAAATATTATAACAAAGAGGGGGGAAAGTTACCTACACTTACCCACAATAACTACTCACCCTTTCTGACACACTACAAAATACCTGTGAAATAACTCCCAATTCTCAGTTTCTCCCAGAAGAGAAATAAATGAGTGTACTGGGTTTCCATTTGTCTGGATTTTTTGTAAATGCCTGAGGGATTTTTTTCATTTTTGAATAAAACAGATTTCTATAGAAATGAAATATAATGAGCATACATTGTGGTGGACTACTAAGTAAAAAAGTTAGTAATTGTTCAAGCACCAGAAATACTGCAATGCCGAAGAAAGACATCAGGAGTGGGAAGATATCATGAGCTCTAAATAAAAGCAAAATATGTTTTAAACTGGGAAGTTACACAAAATCCACACAGGCTTCTGGTCAAGATGGTAGTATAGGTAATTATAGCATTGGCAACCTCCCACAACCACACAAAAAATACAACTAAACTACAGGAAAACCATCATTCAAAACTGCCTGAAATCTAGCTGAATGAAGTTCTACACGTAAGGACATAAAGAAGAAGGCTTATCCAGACTGGTAGGAGGTGCAACGTCACAGAATGGACTGCGCTCAGGTGCTGGATTAAAATCACCAGCTATATGTTTCTATCTCTCTCCTTCTCCCTTCCTCTCTGAAATAAATAAAAATATATTTTTAAAAAATAAAAATCACCAGCAATATATCAGCGCAGAAGTCACATCTGAGGAGGGAAAGGTCCCAGCCCCACAGAAGGCCTGCCAGCCCAGGGTTGCAATGCCAAGAAGAGATGTCCCCATTACTCTGGCTGTAAAAACTAGCAGGGATTGTGCCTGAGTGAAACAGAGAGCTGATGGAGTCCTAGGCAGTTCCTTTAAAGATTCATGCTCTGACTTACTCATATTCATGCCCTGTGAGCTCCAGCACTGTGGTAGCAGCTCGAATGGCACCAGGGACATACAGGTTGGAACTCAAGTCTCTGGTATAAAGACAAGAGCTACAGAAGGTGCTTTCTCCCAGGCATAAGTCTTGGTACAAGCCTTTGCTCCTTTTCTGAGCCCTTCACCCACAGAGCTGGCAAACAAGAGCCATAGCTACGTCTCCATCAACCTGGCTCACACTTTTCAACCCACCCTGAAGATTTCCTGAGACCCACCCATCAACGTCTGGGACCACCAAAGCTGTTTCCAGTGGCTTTTCCATACAAACAGCCCGAATTGCCTTATGCTTCAGTCTTTACAACAATTTCTCAAACAAGCAGGATCTGGCCCCAGTGTACCACATAACTCTTGCTAAGTAGCCCCAGCATGGAAACTATGGAATGTCTAATTACTGGGGTGTACACCTGAAATGAATATAATATATTGGCAACTACAATTGAAACAGTAAAAAAGGAGTTATACACACACACATACGCACACACGCACACACACACTGATTACACTTTCTAGAATAGGTTTGACAGGCAATGAACAATCTATCACAGCTGATTGTTATTTGTTTTCTCCTGTACAAAGCAAGTTCATAAAGAATGGGATGGCAGCTGTTTCTAATGACCTGGAATAGTAACAAAAGATCACAAGGTTTAGGAAGAAACAGAAAAACAATCCAACCAGAGGAACAACATAAATCTCCATAAATTGGCCCTAAGTTAATGAACATCTGTTAATTACCTAACAAAGCTGTGAAAACAAACACATCTAAAGAGGCTCAACTGGAAAATATAGCAAAAAAATAAATAAAAAATATATTACCATCAAAACTATGCATGACCAAAATAAAAATACAAACAGACGAAAAGTATAAAAAAACAACCAAACAGATATTGGGAGCTGAAGAATATAGTTAGTACCTGAATTAAAATATACAATAGAAACATCAGAAACAGGCTTCATCAAGCAAAAGGAAGAATAAGACAACTTGGACACTGATCCACAGTGTTCCTGGGACGTGGGAACCAAATTCCAGTATCTCAACCACTTCCCTCCCAAATTACTTACATGGGGCAGAAAACAGAACTTTAAACATAGTTTAACGTAAAATTCCTCAGCAACATGCACAGACTTCCCCAGGTTCACCAAGAAATGCAAGAGCAGCCAGGGCATGCCACCCTCACACTGTTAGGGCAGGTCTTTGGCTCTCACTGTAAATGCGAAGGAAGATCACAGGAGCACAAGGAGAACCCTTACATGATGCCAGAGAGTAAGTGTTGAAGAGGCTCTGTCCCTTGGAGACAGAAACAGAAATAAACCTGACCCTCTCCAAAATCATTTCTATTGCAGCAGATCTTTCCAAACCATATTATATCTGACTTCCTCCATAACCTTGGCCTCTCACTTGGGTCATCCACTTCCTTGATTCCCACCTACCTGGCTGGCTGGATATTGTCTTTTTCCTCTTCAACTCCCAGGGCCCCTTCATGTGCTCCAAAAAGGTGACCAGGTCTGGCTTAGACGCACCTGTTTATTAGAAAGGGGAACATGAGTTCAATGGAGATTCTCCAATTTACAATCTAGTACTGTGCTCACATGAGAAAATAGGACATTGTAGAATATCAGAATATTCTAGAAAATTATTTCCCAAAATAGTGTTTTCTGAAAGCACCTTTACTATAACTCGAGACAACATTTAAATTTTTTGATCCTGTCGCAAGAATCAAGTCAAAGGTTTGAAATACAAAGAAGCAAAAATCACCCGACCGGAAAAACAAAAAGAAAAAAGAATCCAAGAATATGAAGATAGTGTAAGGAGCCTCTTGGACAACTTCAAGCGTACCAACATCCGAATTACAGGGGTGCCAGAAGAAGAGAGAGAGCAAGATATTGAAAACCTATTTGAAGAAATAATGACAGAAAACTTCCCCTACTTGGTGAAAGAAATAGACTTACAAGTCCAGGAAGCACAGTGAACCCCAAACAAAAGGAATCCAAAGAGGACCACACCAAGACACATCATAATTAAAATGCCAAGAGCAAAAGACAAAGAGAAAATCTTAAAAGCAGCAAGAGAAAGAAACTCAGTTACCTACAAGGGAGTACCCATACGACTGTCAGCAGATTTCTCAACAGAAACTATGCAGGCTAGAAGGGAGTGGCAAGAAATATTCAAAGTGATGAATACCAAGAACCTACAACCAAGATTACTTTATCCAGCAAAGCTATCATTCAGAATTGAAGGTCAGATAAAGAGCTTCACAGATAAGAAAAAGCTAAAGGAGTTCATCACCACCAAACCAGCATTATATGAAATGCTGAAAGGTATCCTTTAAGAAGAGGAAGAAGAAGAAAAAGGTAAAGATACAAATTATGAACAACAAATACACATCTATCAACAAGTGAATCTAAAAATCAAGTGAATAAATAATGTGATGAACAGAATAAACTGGGTGATTATAATAGAATCAGGGGCATAGAAAGGGAGTGGACTGACTGTTCTCGGGGGGGGGGGTACGGAAGGGGTGTGGGGAGTGCGGGAAGAGACTGGACAAAAATCGTACACCTATGGATGAGGACAGTGGGGGGGGATAAGGGCAGAGGGTGGGGTTGGAACCGGGTGGAGGGGAGCTATGGGGGGAAAAAAGAGGAACAACTGTAATAATCTGAACAATAAAGATTTAATTAAGAAAAAAGAAAAAATAAAAAAATATTTTGATCCTGAGTTCCACTTCCAAATACATCAGGAAGCCTTTCTGTTCTCCACCAGTAAAACAGTAAAGCCTTTCTGTTCTGCACCCCAATTTCATTCCTTAAGAACACGGGTGTGTCTGAAATTCTATCATAAAAAGCAGAGGCTCTAAGCAGACACTGTACTAATGAAGAAAACAAAACCCTATGGGTAGAGTACAAAATCTTGAAAGTGATCCTCACCCAGGAACACCAGGTTCCTGTAGTTCTGCAACATCACATCCACGTACAGTTTCCGCTGAGCTGGGTCCAGGCATGCCCACTCCTCCTGAGAGAATTCTATGGCCACATCACTGAAGGTCAACTGTCCCTGAAATTAAAAGGGGGAAAAAAGCATTACTCTATTGAACATGGGCAGAGGTCATATAAGATCACCCAAAATGAAAACAGAGTTAATGGAATTGGTTTGGTGTGTGTGTGTGTGTGTGTGTGTGTTTCTTTAATAGAGCTGGTTTTGATCCAGGAAAGTATCCTGAGTTATCCAATGGCATCACTTTGACACTACTATTCTCTAATGTATTTTGAGAAAGGATGGCATATGATCCACAAAACCACTGTAGAAGCTTTACTTTTCTGGAAGAGGAACTTTAAAAATAAAGACATCAACACAGGCATATCCATTTTTAGTGCTTTGTTTGAATCACACAGGATCAAGTGTACATAGTTCTTAGCTGGAGAAGTCATTCTGAGTGAGCAGCGTAGCACTTTTAAAAATGGTAATGAGTTCTGGATGCGGTCTGAGCTTCCACATGTTTAACCAGCTCACTTATAACTATAGATGCCAATGTGCCGGTACATGTGCCAAACCCTTAGACAGCACAGAAGGAAACACAGGAAAAAAATTCATATACAAGACTTTGACTGAACAGTTTTAAGGAATTTACAGGTCTCACAGATTAGTAAGCCTAGCAACGACAACTGTTTTAACAGTTTTTTATATATTAACTGATAAATCTCAAAAGTAATCAAAGAATAACATTATTGTTCCCTTTTTTTAAATGTATTTGTTGACTTTAGAAAGAGAGAAGGGGTAGGAGAGAGACAGACAGAAACGCTGGTGAGAGAGAAACATCAATAAGCTAACTCCTGCACGCCTCCTACCAAGGATTGAGCCCTCAACACGGCATGTGCCAAAACTGGGAATTGAATCAGTGACCCTCAGTGCATGGGTCAACGCTCAACCAACTGAGCCAGGGCTATTCATCCTTTTTTATGAGAATATTTTGTAAAACATCCAGAAAATGGTAGAGCCTGGGTGTTATTCCAAACTTGATCTGGAATCTGTCAAAAAGAATACAGACCAATACATAGACTCAACCCTCATGAATGTTCACAGCTGTTGTAATTGTAAAGAACCGAAACAATGCCCTTGCTGGTTTGGCTCAGTGGATAGAGTGTCAGCCTGTGGACTAAAGGGTCTCAGGTTCGATTCTGGTCAAGGGCACACACCCAAGTTGCAGGCTTGATCCCCAGTAGGGAGCGTGCAGGAGGCAGCCGATCAATGATTCGCTCTCATCATTGGTGTTTCTATCTCTCTCTCCCTCTCCCTTCCTCTCTGAAACCAATAAAAATATATTTTTTTAAAAAAGAATAGAAACAAGAATGTAAGAAGAAAAAGCTCAAATAATAACATTTTTTTGCAAAAAGGCAGACATAGAAATGGAAACTCTGTACACAAAAAAATACGACATAAAATAATATTTTCATGTCAATAATATTACCCTGAAATAAAATAAACATTAATGTCAATGTGTTAATCTCACAAATCTCTTTGTGAATCATCATCTTGGTACTTTAGAAACACAAAAGGGAGGTAAACACACCATAATATAAAATATTAGCGCTATTGGTTCTTAGCCTATTGTTTGATGTGTTATCTTTGGTGCTGATCTGTATTTTATAAATTTAACACACTTGAACATCCATTACTATGATGCTTGTAAACATTTTTGAAAATACAAAGTAGTGATAAAGAAGAGTGTGTCTGTGACATGTCAGTGGAATACAACAAAAATGTACAGGTCTGAGGCCTGCCTGATAAAACCCTCCATTTGCAAATCTAGGATCTCCAGTGAACTGCCGGAAGCCGGTCCATCCTTGCTGCTTGACACAGTCGCTGCAGGATAGAAACATCTGCACAGCATATGTTTCAAGGGACCTGGCATATATAGCATACTGTTCTTAATATGTTTGCTCCCCTTAGCGCTGTGTGTTTTAACCAAGATCACCTCTCCGAGAAAGGTTGTTTCCCCAGGTAGGGATTTTTCCCTGAAGTTAGGGAGGGGATGAAACTCCTTAACTAAGTGCCAGGCGGGTAGTTAATCACTTTAACTACAAACAATCATGCTTAAGGTACATAATCTTTACTCCCTGGAATGGAGATAAGAAACGCCCTAACCTTTGTAATAGAAATTGACAGGATTAAAATCAACTGGTATAAATACGGATGTAACAAGACAATAAACAGCAGAACCTCTCTGGAAATCCAGACCAGAACTTGGCTGGAGATCCTGGCTGGAGATCCTGGCTAGGCTGCTGATCAACTGAACACTGTCTCTGTGTCATTCCTTCTTCGCCGACTCCATCCACACCTTTGGGGACCCCTGGACCTGCTGGGGTTGGACCCCGGCAGTGAACAACAACAAGAAGCCTTTATTTCTCAAAGCAACCTAAACATAAAGAGAAACTGAAAAGCAATGGAAGTTTCCAAATGAAATGTGATCGTTTATGCACATCTCACAAATTTTTTTTGAAACCCTTATTAAAGATTTTTTAAAATTAACTCTATGGTTCAGGAACTGGGCAGAGAACACCCACACCAAGTGAAAATCAGGTGCAAAGGAAGTGACATCAGGTGACTGAAGGACACAGAACATATCATCACTAACACCAATTTTATACAAAATTCATTCCACATATACCTCCACATTCTGTAAATCTCACAGTACATTTAAAGAGTAAGGCTTCCATGCCAATGTAGAGAGCAAGTCTCTGCTAACGAGTTTTCTTTTTCAGCACATTCTGATCTAATCCCAGCCACTAAGGCCATCCTGTTAAAGGTGCTTTGTCTCAATCCTGTTCTGCAGAGCGGATGCTGCAGCCATACGAAATCTAAAACCTACATTTCCCTTCTGCAAACACCATCTCAATAGGGATCTTGGCTATCAATGCCTTCCCATGTTGATCTGTCACAAAGAAAATGTTCTGAAGAGTTGAAGGTGGGGGTTCAGAACAAGGCACCCTAAGATGTGCTTCAACGGTACATGCATTATGTTGAACTGAAGGCACCAAGACCTAGAGAACCTTCTGCTCTCCCCCTGAACTACCTAGAAGAATTTAAATGATGAGCTTGGCCCATGATCTGTGTTAAACCAAAAATGACATTTGAACTACGTAGGTCAACCGTGTCAAACTTGCGGGTCACCGGACACATGTGACCCACAACAAATTCTCATTAACAATTACTCATTTATTTCAGCCCTTTGTATTCAGCATGTCTCTATCTTAATAAAACTACATTTCTATGACATTTGAAGCTTTTGGGGTTTTTTCCGGCCCACATAAACTTAAACCTTGTTTATTTTGCACGTGTTAGCCTTTGAGTTTGACATGCTTGATCTAGGTGGTAGGCAAACTAGTATTTCCTGAACATGTGATCTCTTGGCAACGACATTCTAAAGTCCCAAGGTGCAGTAGCTCATCCCAGGTGCAGAATGTCTCATATACCAATTTTCCCTTTCAATCTCTGAGCCTCTCTTGCATGTGGGGTCTCTAACACTGTCATGTGTGTGGAGCTCCCATACATATCACGTCTATCCAATTAGGCCAGCTGAGAGAACCTTGAAAGTAGAAGAGCCAAAACCGGTTTGGCTCAGTGGATAGAGCGTCGGCCTGCGGACTGAAAGGTCCCAGGTTCGATTCCGGTCAAGGGCATGTACCTGGGTTGCGGGCACATCCCCAGTGGGAGATGTGCTGGAGGCAGCTGATCGATGTTTCTCTCTCATCGATGTTTCTAACTCTCTATCTCTCTCCCTTCCTCTCTGTAAAAAATCAATAAAATATATATATATATAAAAAAAAAGGAAGTATCTTCCTCCCACACAATGGCCATTAATTTATGGTGAGAGTTCTTCATTTCGTATAGGGGACCTGGATGGACACAGTGGACAGAAAGCTGTGGACAAAAATGCAGGGGTAGCTGACTTTATCTGCCTCCTAAAGGCCTGCTTCCTTGCAGATGTTGAAACTGCTGACCCACATGAGCAGTTGATGAAGGCTTGACTGCTACATGAACTTCCTGGGGTGGCTCTAGTGAACTACGCTGCCATCTTTCCCCCACAGCGCAGGCACTAACAATCAGACAACCCCGATGGAAAAGGAAGTAACTGCACCCTGAAATGGAAATCTCCACCAGCAGGCCTTGTTCAAACCACCCTCCTATGTGTCCCAAGCTTGTTAGGGCCGCCAAGCAGCGCCAGCCCCTCAGCAGCTCAGAGGCCCTTCCTTTCTTCTGTGTTGTCTCCCTTATGAAAGAGCATAAACCTAAGAAAATTTCCCAAGATTATCTCTAGAGGTTCCTCTTGATTTCTATCTTGGGGAACCCATAACCCCAAGCGACAGTCACAGTTTAAAGAGGGAACTTAGATAATCACAAGAAAAAAAGTAAGCAGTTGAAAACAAATTCCTGTTGCAGGATCATCAGAAATAGAGAAGCAAAGGTCTGCACCACCTACATCCAGGAACTTGAGAAGGAAAAGCAGACACAGAACTGAGCCAAGACAGAGCGCTTACCTGAGAAGCAGCCATATTGTCCTCTTCCTCCTCCTGCTCTGGGTTGTTTTCTCAGGCGACTTTATGTTGACCAATCACACCTGCATCTGGAGAAGATGCCGTGCTTCCACCACACTCACAGGCAGAAGGACTTGAAATGCTGAAAAATGTCACACTCCCCTGCCCTTTGTCACAGGAGAGATTAAGAAAAAGTGAGATTCTACATTAAGACCAACATGTAAGTTTTTCTCTCTTATATTCCTGTGCTCTCCCATCCCACAGACATGCACAATTTCCAACCCAGCAATAAGAATGTGGGCTGTACTTCTGTTCCTCCAAACTCAAAAAAGAACCCTGTTACCTCCCCTGGACCAAAGCCAGCTCTCAACTCTCACAAATGCACAGGGGCAGATAACGCTTCTGATAAATATTAGCCTCCCTTTTGAATCACCTGGAGCACCACACTAAACCAACAACCCAGACCAGTTGTTGAGCTCTGTGGGGGAGGGTACAGTAATGTTACTTCTTACAATTCATCAAATGGTCTAATACAGCCGTGGGCAAACTACGGCCCACGGCCGGATCCGGCCGTTTGAAATGAATAAAACTAAAAAAAAAAAAAAGACCGTACCCTTTTATGTAATGATGTTTACTTTGAATTTATATTAGTTCATACAAACACTCCATCCATGCTTTTGTTCCGGCCCTCTGGTCTAGTTTATGAACCCATTGTGGCCCTCGAGTCAAAAAGTTTGCCCACCCCTGGGCTAGACCCAACATATCTGAGACCTATGAGTAGTGTGAAGGATTGGGGTAAGAACTTCTAGAGGGCAGGCTCCTAGGCTGGAACCCTGGAAATGGGGTTGTCCTGGAATGGGTTTAGCTAGGTCTGTAGCTACTGTGCAGATGCAAACAGGGAAGGAGAAAAAAACTTGGTGGCAACAGGATTCTGTGAAAATCCTGTCCTCAGAATTCTTCCAAAATGACCCTCAGTCCCCAGTTCTTTGCCCACACCCCTCCCATGGGACACATGGTATAACAGGCCTCATCCCGTCCATAGGTGAATGGAGCCTCAATCCCTAAGGGACAAGGGGCAGAAAAGTGTATCCATCACAGCTGCATTTGCAAATGAACTAAAGGAGCATACTCTAGAAGCCTCTCAAGACATGAGATTCCTTATACCACATTCATGTTCACTTTCTCTAACTGAACCCCAAACACATTTTAATCATTGTTCTTATTAATGTTTTATTACAGTAAGAACACAACATGAGATCTTTCAATAAAATTTTTGAAAAAATATTTTTATTGATTTTAGAGTGGAGAGAGATAGAAACATTAGTGATGAGAGAGAATCATCGATCGGCTGCGTCCTGCACACCCCCTACTGGGGATTGAGCCCACACCCTGGGCATGTGCTCTTCAGTCCACAGGCTGACACTCTATCCAACTGAGCCAAACCAGCAAGATATGAGATTCCTTATACCACATTCATGTTCACTTTCTCTAACTGAACCCCAAACACATTTTAATCATTGTTCTTATTAGTGTTTTATTATAGTAAGAACACTTAACATGAGATCTTCCAATAAAATTTTTGAAAATATATTTTTATTGATTTTATAGTGGAGAGAGATAGAAACATTAGTGATGAGAGAGAATCATTGATCATTGATCGGCTGCCTCCTGCACACCCCCTACTGGGGATTGAGCCCACAACTTGGGCATGTGCTCTGACCATGAATCACACAGCGACATCCTGGCTAATAGGTTGACGCTCGACCACTGAGAAACACTAACCAGAATCAATAAAATTTTAATTGCACAAGACAATAATGTTAACAGCAGGCAAAATGTTATAACGTGGATTTCTGAAACTTATTTATCTTTGATAAATCAAAATCTGTATCCCTGAATAGCAACTCCCATTTCCACTCTCCTTTGCCTCTGGCAATGTTAATCATTCCTCTAATCTTTGTTCCTGTGAGTGTGACTGCATTGTGAGAATTCTGAAGCTGGATTTATATAGGGTTATATATTAAAAGTACTTACTATGACACCTAAGTTTAAAATCTATAAACTTAATAGTCATATTATGAAATTTGAGGAAAATATGATTAAATTAATACAAATGACTCCCAACTTTGATAGAGTTTAACAAACAATTATTATGAAAAAAATAGAAAACAAATTCCTGAAACATAGCAGATTCACTATAATAAAACCTTAGAGCAAGCCCTACTAAGTGTACCTATTAATAATAGCGGATTTTGTAATCAAAGAAAACACGATGATTTCAAGAGAAACATCAAAAGTGCTTTATTCTAAGTAATGTCCATCACTAGCTACACACTGCCCCATCATTCAGGTAATTTGTGGATACCGTTCCAATAGAACTTTTCTTGTTTTGAGGCAAACCATTAAGAGACCCAGTTTTCCACTTCTTCATATGTTCTGAAGTGCTGCTCAGAAAGTGCGTGTGCCATCTATTGGAACAAGTGGTAATCTGAAGGAGCAAAGTCTGGTGAATACAGCGATTGGGTTAATACTTCCCAGGCAAGATCTTTTAACGTGTCTTTCACTGGTTTTGAAGTGTGTGATGTTGCGTTATCATGAAGCAAAATTACTTTGCCCTGTCTTCTGGCACATTCTGGTCATTTCACTATCAAAGAGTGGTTCAAATTGATTATTTGTTGTCAATAGCGATCAGTATTAATGGTTTCACCTGGTTTTAGAAACTCATAATACACCACACCTTCCTGATCCCACCAAACCCAGAGCATTGTCTTCTTTCCAAAGCGATTTGGCCTTGCAGTGGATGTTGATGGTTGACCTGGATCAACCCATGATTTTGTGCATTTGGGATTCTCAAAATAAATCCACTTTTCATCACCAGTCACAATTCGATGCAAAAAAGACTTTCTTTCATGCTGTTGAAGCAACATTTTACTGATGACTTTTCAGTTTTCCATTTGTCTTTTGTTCAGTTGATGTGGCACCCATTTTCCTTCCTTTAAAATCTTTCCCATTTCTTGTAAATGATCGGAAATTCTTACTGGGCAACATTTAATCTTTCTGCAAGTTGTTTTTGAGTTTGACATGCATCTTCATCCAATAATGCTTGTAATTGTTCATCTTCAAACTTTTTCAGTTGACCTGGGCGTTCTTTGTCTTTCACATCGAAATCATCACTTTTAAAGCGTTTAAACCAGTGTTCACAAGTATCTTGAGATGGAGCATGTTCACCATAAGCTTCCCGAAGTATTCAGCAGCACTTTTCTTCAAAATAAAGTAATGAATTAAAACTTCCCGCAAATGCTTTTTTGGCACGAAATTTGACATTTTTAAGTGTACAAATATCTATGATGTTAACACCTTCAGAAAATTTGACATATGAAGTTTTTAAGCTTGTTGTCAATACAACAAAATAGCATACATATCAAATCGCATATATAACAACATATGTGTAACCCCATCTATTGAAAAAAATCCGCATTATTAACCAGTACATCTAGTAAATCTTCATGGGGAAATTTATGCTTTTAATAGCAGATAAACAGGTCAACAGGCCCACATTATTATTTTACTAACATGGTTCTCAGGAATAAAAAATTGCTACCTTATCTCTCTATGCATAACTCTGTGTCCAGATTTCCCGTTAAGAAGGAAAACAGGCATATTAGAGGAGGGCCCACTATTAATGCCCTTATTTTAAGTTGATTATATTTTGTTTTATTGATTTCAGAGAGGAAAGGAGAGGGAGAGGGGCTGCCTCCTGCATGCCCCCTACTGGGGATCAAGAAAGCACCCGGGGGATGTACTCTTGACCGGAATGGAATCCGGAACCCTTCAGTCCTCAGGCCAATGCTCTATCCACTGAGCCAAACCAGCCAGGGCTAGTTGATTATCTTTTTAAGGTAATCTTTAAATAAGGTAATATCCCTATTTTTAAGGTAATTTTTAAGTTGGGTAATATCCCAAGGCAGTGGATAAGATTTCAACATATGATTGAGACCCAACTGAAGCCTTACATGGTAAGTTTATGGGGGTGGGTGTCTAAGTGTGTGTGTCTATGAAATTTTATTAACCATGTAGCTTTGTTTAAATCAGAACCACAAACCAGATCCTTAATTGGAGCTGCCTTCTAACAACTCCTATCCCTAACCCAGGACAACCACTAATCTGTTCTCTATACTGATCTGGTTGGATTCAATTTTGATAACTTTATAATTTTCAAACAATTAATTATTAAATCACAAATTTGCCGTAGGGCCTTTGCCAAAGGCCCTAAGGCAGAATTAACCCAATCTTTTATTTAACTGAATATATATTTACCATAAATAGTTCTATTTCAACAAATAGTCAATATTTAAAGAAACTTATGCCAGGTATTTCACATCCTTTTCCCCTACTGTGTTCTGAAGAATCAGTATGTATCCTCCACTGAAAGCACATCTCAGCTGAGACTGGCCACAGTTCACAAGCTCAACAGCCACAGGAAGAGACTGGCTGCCATATTGGATGGGCCAGCACTACAGTATCAACAAGAAAGTATTTTATGCAATATGAGGGCAGACTGTGCCTGTAATACCCAACCTTTTCATTTCTTTGATGCTTTCTTTGAGGTTATGTATATAATCACCTTTGTAACTAAACATGGTCTTAGGAAAAGATTTTTTTTTTTGTAGGATCAGAGTCAAGTGGGTGTGTATATACACTCCCAACCTTATATCATGGTGTTACTCAGTCTTTTTGTCCTTGTTGTATTTGTCTAAAGATGTGTCAGGTTCTGAGAGAGGAATTAAAAAGACTGTCACTCTCACTCTAACTCTAAACATATGTTTCTCAATTTGTTCCCACATACCCATTCCTTTATGTCGTTCATCTTTAGCTTTGTCAATCACTTGTACATACATTTACTCATCCAAGATTAACCATCTCCTTGGTGCCTGGCATTAGAGACACAGACCAGAACAAGACCAAGGTCTTGCACATGTGGGCAGCCACCTTAATCACGAGACAGATAATAAATAAGCAAACAAATAAATACACAGAAAAGCATCTGAGTCCAGAGAAGCCCAATGAAGACAAGTTAAAACAGCGTGGAAAACTCACTGAAAGTTGGGAACAAGGGAACAGCCACAGCAAAGGCCCTAAGGCAGAAACCTGCCTATGTGTTTAAGGAACAGTGAGGAGGCCCCTGTGCCTGCAGCTGATGCAGGGAGTGGGAGAGAGCAGGAGATGGAGTGTAGAAGGAGCAAAGGGAACCCGATCTGTGGGCTCCAATGGGCCATCTTAGCTTCATACACTGCATGTTTTGTTACGTATTCATTCACTGAAATATTTCATTTATTAAAACTATTATAAGATTATTTAATGAGCTCTAATAGGTTCAGGCAATGAATTAGACAGATAAGGTTCTTGTCACCCATGTAACTCTCACAGAATATTAGAGAAAGAAGAGGAATAAACAATTTGATAGAAAAGCAATAGAAACACATTTTTCCAATTACAAAATAAAATGCAATCTTCCTAAGGGCCAGACTGTTCTAAGCTCTTTCTGCAGAGTCATTAATTCTTGTGACAACATTACGTGGTAATGACTGTGCCCATTTTACCAATGTGGAGCCTAAGCCACAGAGCGCCAGGAGTACTCCCGAGGTTACACAACCAGCACCAGGCAGGCCTTTCTTTCCTTCCCTGTCCTAGCACTTCTCCTCAATCACCACCTACCTCTCTCCTCTCAGACTCCTCTTTTCTACGACCCCCTCCCCCAAAAAAAACCAGGGTCTGGAGGAATGCAGCTCTTACAATCCCTCAGGCCCCTCTGCTCCTGCTGCTAGTACCTGCTTGGTGCCTGCACTGGTGAAGGAAGAGGTAGAGGGACCCAGGCACCCAATGCTGCCTTATGGCTGCCTACCTCCTGTGGCTCGTGGGCGCTAACTTGTCTTGGTGAGTTCCTCATTAAACTGAGGACTCTGGACACTGTTGAAAGGACAGGTGGGATGAGAGGGCTGTAAGCAGGGAACGGGTAGGTCAACTCTAAATAAAAACCCCTTTAAGGCCATGAGATTGGTAGAAACAGACTTGATGGTAGAAACTTGAGACCAAAGAGGAGGCTCGAAGAAGGCTGAGGGACAGAAGATAGAAGCTAAACCAGCTGAAACCATGGAGATGGAAAGGAGAGAATGGGTCAATTCAGGGGTCTGAAACCAGGAGAAAGAGGGATACAGATCAGGAGTGGGGCACTTGTTGGTACAGAGGACCCTGGGTCTTGTCCAGTGACTGAGTGGACAAAGGGGAAGCTGGGTAATGAGAAAGATGAGGAAAAGACAGTGAGCTCAGTGGGAACTGTGAGTGTGAAAGGCCACCAGGGAGATATTTGGGTCCAACAGTCTATAAGCCAGGAGAGTATGGGAAGGGAAGGGAACGCTATGCAAAGCCCTCCAAAGTGAAAATGCTCAGGGTGTTCCAGTAACTTTGGTCAGACTGCGCTGGGTGTGGGTGAACCTTTGAAAAAATGCCACAAGAAAACCAAGACCTCAAACACCAGGCAAAGGTGCTGGGACTTCCTGCTCTGGGCAGCAGCATCATGGATGCCTGTGTCGGAAGACAGAACCTGGGAACAGGGGTGGGGGCAGGAGGCAGGTGGATTGAAGGGAGCGTGGGTAGGCAAGTCCCAGTGAGTTCTTGATGAGCACAGGGAGCTCTAACAAGAAACACGTTGTAGTGATCACTTGCACACACAGCACCTCAGTGACACAGGTCTTGTGCTGGGCTTTCTACAAATTCACACTCGTAATTGCAAAGCTGGAGCCTTTATTATCCTACTTCAGAGGCTGAACCCAAAGCACCTTGAGGTAAATAATCTGCAAAAATTCATAGATTTGACTTGACTTTGAGCCTTTTGCTTCCAGCATCTGAGCCTTTCACTCTTCTACCTCAATTTCCTGATCTGTCCAAAAGACACTGATAATACTCCTTCCATGGAGTATTGTCTGTCCCCAGGTCTATTAAATAAACACAATCATTTTCTGCATCTTTTCCAGGAATTCACCGAGAATTATTTAAAATATATAAAATGATGCACACAGATTTTGGCACTGAAAACTTTGAAAAAAATGTTAGCTATGGAAATAGGTTGATCAAATTCCTTCACCATAAACAGATGAGCTCTCTTGGAACAAAGTTTCATGTCCATCTTTCAACATTTTCAGAGAATGGAGAAAAGGGACTTAAAGGAATATCATTGAAGCTTACAGATCACTAATTTAACAAATCATATAAATGGAATTTTAAAAACTGTGACTATTAAACTAACTCACTAAAACTAGGTTCTGACTGTTAACAACATAGCCATCCTTACCAAGTGTACACTGAAATAGCCTAATATATCATTTATATGCACCAATGGATGTTCCCACATGTTATACAGGAAAGAAAAATACAAAGCATATAATCTAAAGTAGACACAATATATTCAGAAGGGAAAAAATTCTAATTTTTAAAAATATAATGTCTTCCAGGGTTAATTTTGTTTTTCTAAGCTACCTTGTATTTAGAAAAGAATGGTAAGAGCTGATTATGAGATGTCACCAATGCTTATTTCGGAAGTAAATGAAAGTTTACAAAAAAAGGGAAATTCAACAAAGATTTATTTCAAATGCTTTTTATTTTTTAATTCTTTTTTTTAGTCCTCACCCAAGGATATTTTTCAATTGATTTTTGAGAGAGTGGAAGAGAGAGAGAAAGACAGAGAGGAATATCAATGTAACAGAAACACATTGACTGGTTGCCTCCTGCACAAGACCCGAACAGGGCCCCGGCCTGTGAGGAGCCTGCAGCCGAGGTACGTGCCCTTGACTGGAATCGAACCCAGGCCCCTTCAGTCAGCAGGCTAATGCTCTAACCACTGAGAAAAAGTGGCTAGGACTAAATATGTTTTTTAAAAACAATTAAATAAATATAACAACAGTAAAAAGGAAAGAGTAAATCCATTTCAAAGAAATAAAAAACCAACACTTTTAATATTCCTTGAAAAAGCATCATGTAGGGATAGACTTGGTCATTCTTGTCCCAGTTCACTTTGCTAATCCCATCCCAGGAAATGGGAAGAGACCCAGGACTGACTGAGACAAGATTCTCCCCTCTGGCTGAATAAGGGTTGCAAATGAAAGCTATCTGCTGACACAAAGAACCATTTTATAACTTATAAAATGAGCAAGCCTTATAAACTGGACCTTTGCAATTCTCATTTTCATCTGTATAACTGAAATACAAATATTAAATTAAATAGGTCATAAAGCCACAAGTCATCACATCACAACGTAATCACCCACATCCATCAGTTTCCCACTCACCCAGAACGGGGTTCCCTTCCTCCTCCACTTCTGTTTCTCAATCCGTTTAGGTCGCTCTCTTTCCTTTGTTTCTCTCCACTGACCTTGCCTGTGTTCCCCCTTCGCTCCTGTCTCCCCTTTATTCTATTCCTTCCCTATACCCCTTCCGTGAAATTACTGGAACCATCATCTACAGGAGCCCTTTCTCCCCAATCTCTCCGATTGTTCCCCACCTCCATACATTTCGCCTTTCTCCCCCATCCCTGTGTCCCTTCTGCTTCCCCTCTGTCTTTCAGGTTCCACCTCTCCTGCCAGACTCCTGGCACCACCGCCTGGCTAAGCGCACAGTGCTGATTCTTTTTTTTTTTTCTTTTTTTCCCTTAATATTTTATTCATTTTTTACAGAGAGGAAGGGAGAGGAATAAAGAAACATCGATGAGAGAGATACATCAATCAGCTGCCTCCTGCACACCCACTACTGGGGATGTGCCCGCAACCAAGGTACAGGCCCTTGACCGGAATCGAATCTGGGACCCTTCAGTCTGCAGGTCGACGCTCTAGCCACTGAGCCAAACCGGCCAGGGCCACAGTACTGACTCTTGCTGGACTCGGTCATCCCTTCCAGCCCCTGCACTGGCCTCATCCGCCTTTTTCTCCTGACTCTCTCCATCTCAGGTGCCTCGCCCTTCGGGGCCCCACCTCTGCTAACCAAGGGCTCCTCACCCTTTTGCTCCCCTTCACGTCTCTAGAGCTCCCCCTTTCCTCCATGGTCTCTATTTGTTCTCCATTTACCACTTTCCCGAGTTCCTCTTTCATACTTACAGTCGATTTGCAAGGACCTTCCACGTCCTCAACTTTGCGGACTCCTTATGGGCCCCCTCACTGATCCGGCCTCCTACCTACTAAGTGGGGCGTGGGGGGGAGGGGAGCATCTGGAAAGGGGGGTGTCTATACTCCCAGGCCAGGGAGGAATCCGGCTCTACAGGCCGGGAACTGCGAGGCTGCGGAGGGAGGGAGGGTTTGACTCCATCTCCCAACACTTTAATGGCCTGGGGGAGGGGGAGGGGGGAGGCCTGGCCCGTGAACGGTTTTAGCAGGAAAACCACGCGCGGGCCGGCGCAGGGGCCCCGGGAAGGCAGACCGCAGGCAGAGAGGGCTCCACAGTTTCAGCCAAAGGTAAAGCGGGTCTCAAACCCGCAGGGAAGCGCTCGGGGTCAGAGGTCTCACCGGGACGCGAGACTTACCGCCGATGGGAGGCGGGTTCGGGGTTTCAAGGTCTCCTCGGCGCCCGGACTTCACACGTGCAGGGCTGTGGGCTGAGATGCGGAGGTTTAAAGGAGAAAGACCAGAGGCCTCAGATGCCACGGTTACCTTCCCTCCGCACCAGCCGCTTCCGGGTTCGGGAGTAACTGCGCGTGCGCGGGGCGGCAAAGGGGGCTTAGCGGGGCTCGGGGCGGCCGGGGCTCCGGGGACAATGGGAGCGCGGGGCGGGGCCGAAGCGCGGGGCGTGCAAAAGGGGTTTGGCGTGGAGGCTGCACCTGGGGCGCTTCGTTTGCGCTGAGCCCCAGGAACTGGGGAGGCGCTGGAATGCGCTGTGGCTAAGGGTAGGCGTTGCGTGCAGGCGGAACAGGTGGTCGGGCTGCGGCCCACAGTCGGGTTGCCGGTTCGAAGGTGGAGCCCAGCCCCCAGGATGATGACCAGGATCAGCATCGCCGGGGATGCTAACTGGGTCCTGACTCCTGTCCGCGTGCCTCACAGTTTGTATTTTCTGAATTCTGAACCTGTGCAATTTCTTTTGTGCCCTGTAAAGCAGGACTACTCCCTGCCCATTTTAAGTTGATGTTTCAAACAGTTTAATATAAAATTTCGAGATCAGTGGGCCACTTACGTTGAAAGCTACAATGTCTTTAACAGGCTGAGAACGGATTTGCTCAAAACTTCTATTGGGAAGTGGTGGACTCGCCGGTGGGTATTGGCAGAGATGCCAGCTGAACTCCAGCTCTGGGTTCTGGGAACCTGGACATTCAGTTGTGGTGGAGCAATGACTGAATCGAGCAACGAACCAAATAAGTAATTTAATGAAGCAAGGAGTGCAGTTGTCTGTGCAGGAGATGCAAACTTGAATGTAAAATTCAAAATTGTATATGTGAAATTCTAAATTCTACCTTTGGGAAACAGGCCATCGCAGACCAACATCTATCAGAACACCATTTCCATTCCCATTCCCCACTCACCCTGTGATGTCCTGGGTCAGTTGCAGAGAATTGTATAAGGACAAAACCTGGAGGGATGAAGCATGTCATAATTTAGGTCACCATCCAGGCTTTTTAAAAAATATGCAGCAATAACTTTTACAAAATAGATATAAATTGTATTGTTTATATGTTACGAGGGGAATGATAAATTCAAACACCTTTATTGAGATAAATGTTTGTGACATGGTAATTCATTTGTTATTGACTTCTCTATACAATTCAATTCCAAATGTTTACTTAATGTTTATTCAGGAAAGAATATTTTTACCTATGAATTTTTTTTTATTTTTTTTTTTACATTTTAGCTGTTTTACTTGTTTTCTACTTGTGAGGTTCTCTCGGGTGTGGACAATAAACTCTGTAGAATAAATGTACCCTTCAGAAGACAATAGAATTTGCTTTTACCTATAGAAAACTTTTACAATATTCCTAAAGACATTCAGTAGAGATATCTATCCTCTTTCAGATGAATCTTAAAGAAAGTAAAGCAATCTGGTCAATTTCCAGAGGCCCCATTCAAGCCTTCAAGAAACTTTAAAGCAATATCTATGACATCATATCCATCATGAATTACATTTTTCTCTCAAATCCCTACATGTGCAACATTTCTGTCCAGTAAGAATTTTTAATGAGATAAAGGCATTTTGGATAAACTGTCCTTTAACATATAATAAATTGATAAGTTGTCACTGCCATATTCATATGTGATGTTTCCCCAGGTTATGCCTTTGTTACACTTTTTTGACATTCATTACATTTGACATACCTAATATTTTGTAAGATTTGAAGATCATTACTCATAAAATGTGTAAAATTTCATTATAAACTCAATATCATGATTATCCCCCAACTATTGACATTTGGATAAGAACTTTGCAACACAATGTATTTTTAAGATTTCTTTTACATGTATATTTACTAAAGTTTGTTAAAGTTTGACTCGTGGTAAAATACATTGTCCAATGCTTTATATTTTAAGACACCTTCCATAAGTAGGAGATTCTCATACTTACTCCTGCCCTTACCCCCCTGGTGTCTGTGTCCATTGGTTAGGCTTATATGCATGCATACAAGTCCTTTGGTTGATCTCTCCCACTTACCCTTCTCTCCTTTATCTTCCCTCTGAGGATTGATGATCTGATCAATGCTTCTCTGTCTCTGGATCTGTTTTTGTTCATCAGTTTATGTTGTTCATTATATTCCACAAATGAGTGACATCATGTGATATTTATCTTTCTCTGACTGGCTTATTTCGCTTAGTTCCATCCATGCTGTTGCAAATGGTAAGAATTCCTTCTTGTTTACCACAGTGTAGTATTCCATTGTGTAGATGTACCACAGTTTTCTAATCCATTCATCTGCTGATGGGCACTTAGGCTGTTTCCAAATCTTAGCTATGGTAAATTGTGCTATCAACATAGGGGTGCATATATCCTTTCTGATTGGTGTTTCTAGTTTCTTGGGATATATTCCTAGAAGTGGGATGACTGGGTCAAATGGGAGTTCCATTTTTAGTTTTATGAGGAAACTCCATACTGTTCACAGTGGCTGCACCAGTCTGCATTCCCACCAGCAATGCATGAGGATTCCTTTTTCTCCACATCCTCGCCAGCACTTGTCGTTTGTTGATGATAGCCATTCTGACAGGTGTGCGATGGTATCTCATTGTTGTTTTGATTTGCATCTCTTGGATGATTAGTGACTTTGAGCATGTTTTCATATGTCTCTTGGCCTTCCTTATATCCTCTATTGAAAAGTCTCTATTTAGGTCCATTGCCCATTTTTTGATTGGATTCTTTATCTTTCTTTTGTTAACTTATATGAGTTCCCTGTAAATATTGGATATTAAACCCTCATCGGTGATAACATTGGCAAATACGTTCTCCCATGCAGTGGGCTTTCTTGTTGTTTAACTGAAAGCTTTAACCCATCTTTTTATCAAAACATTCTAAGCATTGGCTTCCTGAATATATATGTGTTTTTAATACAATGTTTGACTTAGATTTGACAATCTTGACAAGGTAGATTATGTAGATTTACTGTATGTAGTAATATCGCCAACCAGCCATGTTGCCACAAAAGAGCTTTCAACACAGGCTCCCATTTTCACATGCAAATGGATATGAACTTTTTATCTAACTCAGAACTATTTGGGAAAACCCAATTACAGATCAAAGTCAAGCATCCATTTTGTTCACAGGGAATTTTGCTGCTTATAAAATTTACAAGGGAGTGAAATGAACATATGCACACGAATAAAAGCAGTATTTCCTTATTTACTAGAAGTTTTGACATATATCTCCCTGTAATCTACATATATAAAAGCCTAAGCGACAGTTACAACCGAAAGACCAGAACAATAGGTTGACCAGTCACTATGACACGCACTGACCACCAGGGGGAAGATGCTCAATGCAGGAGCTGCCCCTGATGTTCAGTGCGCTCCCACAGCCAACGTCCCATGGCTGGCCAACCTCCCACTGTCCCACCCCCCCACCCGCCAACTTCCCGTGGTCCCTACTCCCATCTGTCCCCCTGCTGGCAGGACTCCATTGGCCCAGCCCCAATCGGTCCGGTGCTGATCGGGACTGGGCCAGATGTCCCTGATCGACCCTGATCTCCAGCCAAGCCAAGGGACCCCACCAATGCAGGACTTCGTGCACCAGGCCTCTAGAATCATTATAAAAGAGACACAAATAATTAGGTTATTAAAAACTTCAAAATGGCCGAAACCGGTTTGGCTCAGTGGATAGAGCGTCCGCTTGCGGACTGAAAGGTCCCAGGTTCGATTCCGGTCAAGGGCATATACCTGGGTTGCGGGCACATCCCCAGTGGGAGATGTGCAGGAGGCAGCTGATGGATGTTTCTCTCTCATCGATGTTTCTAACTCTCTATCTCTCTCCCTTCCTCTCTGTAAAAAATCAATAAAATATATTTTTAAAAAATAAATAAATAAATAAATAAATAAAAATAAAAACTTCAAAATGATTGAAGACTTCAAAAAACTGAAAAATGTAAAAGTTAGTTTGACCTTGTGAATTAAACTCTGTATCACAAAGTCACAGACCATATATATAAATTTTTTAATTATTTTTTTTAGTGAATGAGATAAAGGAAGGGAGAGAGAATGGAAACATCCATGAGAAACACCAACATCAATCATCGGCCTCCTGCACACCCTCTGCTGGGGAATGAGATTGAAATCTGGGCATGTGCCCTGACCATGAATCAGACTGCTGACCTTCTGGCGCATGGGTCAACTCTCAGTCACTGAACCACACTAGCCCGGTGAGACTATGTTTTTTAAGCACACGTGGAACACATATTTAACACTGTCAACTAAAAAAAATCTGGGTTTATTTAAAGAGAGACTTTAGAGCGTTGGCCTGCAGACTGAAGGGTCCCCAGTTCGATTCCAGCCAAGGGCACATGCCCTGGGTTTCGGCCTCAATCCCCAGTAGGGGGCATGCAGGAGGCAGCCAATCAATGATTCTCTCTCATCATTGGTGGTTCCGTCTCTCTCCCTCTCCCTTCCTCTCTGAAATCAGTTTAAGAGAGAGAGAGAGAAAGAGAGAGAGAGAGAGAGAGAGAGAGAGAGAGAGAGAGAGAGAGAGACAAGAGAGAGAGAGATTACACAAAAGATGATTTCAGTAGGGAGAATGCTCTGACCATGAGATTTAAAAGGGTCTCAAAGACCAGACAGAAAGGGCTTTTCTTTTTATAGAGTGGTCGACAAGGCTAGAAAGGAAAGGGGGTGGGGGAGTGGATGAGCAGGGAGCCCAACCCACCCTTGTGAACACCTTTTACCCTGAGTTTGCCTGGTCTAGAAGGAGGGGTTGTTCCTAATTATACTGTTCAAGGATGAGCCACAGTTCAGGGATCTGGGGAGATGGAGAGGCGATTGATTAGGTGTGATTTAGTCATGTCACAGCAGTTTGTTCCAACTGATCATTGGGGACAAACAGTTCAGCTAATTATAAGATGAAAAATGGCATTGGGCTGAAACCGGTTTGGCTCAGTGGATAGAGTGTCAGCCTGCGGACTGAAAGGTCCCAGGTTCGATTCCGGTCAAGGGCATGTACCTGGGTTGCGGGCATATCCCCGGTAGGAGATGTGCAGGAGGCAGCTGATCGATGTTTCTCTCTCATCGATGTTTCTAACTCTCTATCTCTCTCCCTTCCTCTCTGTAAAAAATCAATAAAATATATTTTAAAAAAAAATGGCATTGGTAAGATTTGTGCCTGGCTTTGTTCCAGGTAAGCAATGGTGTTGCCCACAATCCTATCTAAGTAATAATATAAGAAAGGGCGTTTCTATTTTCACCAACACAAAGCCTTGAGGGAACTTCTTTAACAGCTGCTGGGTGTCAGGATGAGAGGGCTCAGGTAGAGTTCAGTGTTGTCACTTCCGATTATGACACCAAAAAGTTAAAAAATAATAAATACCAAAATATTATATTATAATATAAAAAACACACTCAAATCCTAGATTAAGGATAAACATGCTCAAGGATTCTGATATATATGACTTTGAATGGTATTGAAGAACCCGCATCTTCATTATGACTCTTAGGTGGGTTAAATCTGTCAAAAAATGTATGTGGGAAAAAAAAATGTATGTGTAGCCCAAAGGTGCGGTTCAGTGGTTGAGCGTCGACCTATGAACCTGGAGGTCATGGCAGGGCACGTGCCTGGGTTGCAGGGTTGATCCCCAGTGTGGGGTGCACAGGAGGCACTCAATCAAGGATTCTCTCTCATCATTGATGTTTCTATCTCTCCCTCTCCCTTCTCTGTGAAATCAATAAAAAATATATTTAAAATACCAGAGTCAGATTCTGTGTTACTGTTCTGTTGAACAAGGAAAATGCAGAGGTTATGTTAGAAGAAAAAAAATCATTTTCCCCCTGGGGTTAATGAAATAAATCAACAGACAACACATGAATTTTTATAGCTCTGATTAGACAAT